GGATTAAAAAATGATCTAAAACCAGCAACCAGAACTTGCCATAGGACACAAACTCAACAACGCGAAATAGAGATGAAATTGCACGGCACAACGAGGCTATAGGATAGGGAATATGAGGCGGTGTATATTGTTTTGGCTTTTTGTGGACTATAGGTAAAACAAAAACAGTAACAATCTAAAAGAGAAAAATAAAAGTATATCTAACGGGCAACAAGGTCTCTGATATCACTTGATGTAGACAAGGCCCGATCTTTCAAAAGGTATGATAGCATCGATTGGTGGAGACTCGACGTTTACGATCTAGGCTTCGAACCAAGACTGGTTCGGACCCCCGCAACCGTTACACCACTGCTCCGTTCAACCACGCGAACGCGATTGACCTCGCTGAGAAGGCTTTCCTGCAAGCGAATCGAGAACACAAGCAAGAACGGGATGAACGCAATATGAAATTGTAAATAAATATAAGGCTTATGATAATGAGAAGGAGTTCAAGTCTTTAATCGAAAGGACTAATCGTCACATGCGAACAAGATCAAGAACTGGGGCCCTGGTTCACATCAAGCGACATTGGCAGCATAGTTGCAGTAAAACGACGTCGGTTTCACAAGGAAATCAAGAACTAAACAAAACCCAAACCCTAAGGAGAGCGATGGCTGCTAATTATAGAGCCTCGGACGTCACCCCTCTAGACGCGCCCCCTAATGGGCTCTAAGACGATACACGGTTCAATGGACCAAAAGACGGTGTTGCAACACCCTGGCAGATTCTAGACGCTGAATTGTTTCGATGATTCCTGTTGATTCCGAAGGGCTTTTGACGTGAGATCACTTGCATTGGCTTCCTTATTTAATTAGCTTTTCATTCATATGTGGATCGTCGAAAACGGAGCGCGAACGCACCCGTGTGACCAGTTTTATGACAGATTGGTCCTGTAACCCGAGATGGGCTCGAACTTGATTTGAGCCTCCACCTTGGTGACTCGAACCGGATGAGCTTCGGGTCTCCTTCTCGGTTAGGACACCCTCGCTGATCTCCTCGTCCTCTATCTCTAAACATGGTCATATGCATAGAGCTCATGTTCTCATCACCATGGAAGAACATGTCCCCACCGGACAAACTCAGAGTCATTGTCGTTTGCAATAATAATACCAATGATTTTCTATATATCGTTGATGGTGAATTTTGCCACATATACTAAAGTGGATACCTTATTATATAGTATATGTATATGTGGAATAGGCCTAAAGTCATATATTTATATGGTGAGTATAACATACTTTGTTTTAAGGTTTTGTGAGAGATTTTTCGAGACACGTAGTATTACTTATGTGACAGGCATTAATATTTATATATATACTCGAACTTGTATACAGGATGGTGTGGAGATATGGTGGAACTTATTCATGGATTTATTGATGCACGAAAAAAATGGATATCGGAGATTTCTTTACAGTAGAGTTTGTGAGCCTGCAACACCGCGCTATCCGTGATTGTGTTAATTTCTCAAACTTTGCTTTTTCGATTAAATGTCACTTTAACGTCGATATTTAATTTTACAGTATTACTATCTTATCGTGCATTCCGTATGTTTTATATAAAAATTTAGTTATTCCATATCACGCACGGGCACAGTGTAAAAAGAACCATCGGACAGCTTCCGCACAGGTGACGTAGCGTGGAAGGTGCCGTAGTTCAACAATGCAAACATGCAATTTTCTAATTAGATCAAACTTTGTTTTTTGAAACTGGGTAGACTTTCATTTACTCAGATACTAATAAGTCATTAGCGACAATTACAGCAACGCATTCATTCAGGGACTGAGCTTGTGAATTGCTCATCCCCTTCAGCACAAAGACATCAACCGCAATAGTTAAGGATGGACGAGGACTTTTTCCTCCTTTTTGTCCCGTGCGGTGCTGCTATTTTTTATTTTTTATTGTTTTGAGCAACATTTTTTATTTTTATTTATTTATTTATTTTTGCAAGTGCCGGTGCCACTATTGGCCGAAATGAATCGCACCAAACCTGTGACCTTGGTGGGCTTTTATTTGCGGGCCGCGACTAGTGGTGGGCTATATTGCAACATGGTCCGTCCTGCGTGGTGGCCTAGCAGGCCCAAAGGTGAGCGGGAGCTTCGCTAGGCGCCGCTGCCGCTCGAGCGGACGCCAGCCGCCCCTTCCCTTCCCCGTTACCCTTCCGGCCGCCGCCGCACGTCGGCACGTGGACATCTTGCCGCCGCCGCCGCAAACCACGCGGCCGGTCTAGAAGGAGCTCTCCTCTCGTAGTGACGCCCACCCCCGCCACTTTGACTGGACTGGCTTCTGCTTTTGACGGTAAGGAGTCCCTAGCTTTGCTTTGGTGGATCATTCCTAGATTTCGTTTTTTGCGGAAGATCGTTAAAGGAGGACCCAAATCGAGATCATTGGTGCCCTATAGTGTTGGTCCCCTTCTCTTCCCCATCTTTCTCTCCTCCTCTGCCGAGTACCGAGCACCACCACCCACTTGCGCCGCCGGTGGAGGCGGGCTCAGCACCACCACCCACTTGCGCGCGGGACCGAGCTCGCCACTACCGCCGGTGAGGCGTCGTTCACCATCAAGGTCTTCTTCCTCTCTCCCTCTCTTCTCTGTCGTGAAATTCTTGCCGCCACAAGAAACTGCCGATAGGTGAGCGGGGATGCATCTCCTAGATTTGAGGGAGAGATGAGGGATTTCGAGTAGTTACTTAAAAATTTTAGGTGGGATAGATAATCTGTTTGGAGCCCCCCTCAATTACCTATGTGGCAGTTTTTCACTATTGGGGATGAGGCAAATAATATGCTGGAGATGCTCTTAAGCATAATCCTGGGATAGTGCTAGTTTGGGAGTGATGGCGATTGCCGAAGTTCCAGTTGATTTGGGAGGGGTTAGGGTTTAACCTAGCGCTGCAACATCCTCAAGACCCACACCTGCCGTTCGTTCCCCAGATTTAGCTCTACCACTGCAAAATACTGTAGCTTAGTACTGCTGTGCTGCAGCAACAGCCACAGCCGCAGCTGCAGCCATAGGAAACGAGAAGGCTGCTTGGTGCGGAGCTCGGCAGCGGTGCCCCGCTCCCCCCAATCCGCCATCCGTGAGGTCGGCCTTGTCGCTACCCACACCGGCTCGTCGCAAGGTGCGACGCCCTCTCTCCCAGCCCCTTTCATCTTGCAGCCTCGTTTGGTTTGCCACTGCTGGGGTCCGCGTGGCGACTGCGTCCGCCGACCCCTCTGTGCTGCTGGTGCCTGGCCTCCGGATCTGGGCTCACAAGGGTTCCCTAGGCTGTGAGATGGCATGGGCTTGGAAAATTCTGAATTTTTGTCAGGATTGGTGGCCCCAGTAATTGGACCTAGCTGTGTATGTCAGACCAATTAGCAGGATTCGACATGTTGACCAAGTGCACCAAGTGGTTGAGATCAGAGATTTTGATCGACTGCATTTCTCTACAGTACTTCAGAATCAGGCGATATATTGACTTTGCCAAAGGATTAGTCTTGTTCAGTTTATTTAGCACATGCCGTACACAAATAGTGATACCGAGGAACATTGGTGTCTCCAGGGAATCCAGATTCAGGTGGTCGACATCATGAATCCCATACTGGCTGCGAAAGAGATTAAGCACTCTAAGCTTAATCTGATCACCCTTTAGACAATCATTTAGTAGCAAACCTTCAGCCAGCCAATAATCAACTGGTTGTTCCTTACTAATAGATCCATGTTGTGGGAAAAAAGAGTGCAATATAGAAAGCACTGTTGTTAAGTGGGTTTCAGCTTGTTGTAGCTGTATTTGAGTCGATAAAACATTTCATCACATCTTCATTGTTTAACAAATGATGTCATTCCTTGATATTTTATTCTAATTACATTTTATTGAGTTCTCACTAATCTGCTGCATTTTGCTCTTCCTCAACTGAGTTGACAAACTTATTTCTTTCAGTCTGTGGCCTGCTTATACTTGGTAGAATATTAGAGTCAAGCATCCAGCTATGGCCTTTAAGATTGTTTCTCAGTTTGTGGGAGCATGTCAAGCCAAGACAAGATGTACTAGAGTTTCTCTGGAACATTTTCTTTCTCTGCACATTTAGTTCCAGGTGTCAGTAAAAGTACAATCATACTATATGTGTGTAGGTGTAGCCTGTAGTTGCTGATGTCATCCTTGACAGAATAGAAATGGATCTTTCTACTGATGATGTATCAGTAGAAGTACACTGCATATAGAGAAGTGATCATCACTGGCCGAATCGAGAGAGAGGGAGGGGGTTGATGATGTAGATTAAGGCCGGTAGCATGGAATAGTTTGTTTAATCCTCCTGGCAGCAGCACTGTAGTTTTGGCTTCAGTTTAAATAATTTCAGTTAGTGGTGCTGAATATAGGTTCCATATTTCTGGTGTTGGGCGTTGTGACGACCTTTGAGGTTGATCTGAAAGTTAAGGGGCTACTGAATGAGTTATTTTCTTCTCATGATTTGTGGTTACATGTGGTGTGGCATAGTAGCATTTTAAAGTTAGCTAAATTATTTGTTGGATGAAATGTTGATCCTGTAAATGATCTGTTATTGAGTTGCTCAAACTCCTACTGCTATCAAGCTACTGCTGCTAATAGGTCTCTGTTAATAGACCTCTGGTCTGCATGCTAATACTAATATGTCCCATGCACCAAGAAATGCCTTCTGATGTTGATATTATCTTTGTTTGCAACAAGAAACACTGATGCTTGAACAACTGTTTAGCCTTCAGTGACTTCATGGCCAACATGTGCCACATGATCCTAAATTCTGTTGTAATGGATGTTCTACTCCCCTTGTCTACTTATTAAGATAACCTGTCCATGTTCTGAACTATTTTATGTAAATTAATTAGGTTCTGTTTAATTTGGTGGAGGCTCTGTAATTCCTGTTTTGGTTCTTCTTGCTGGTGATAAGACAAGATAGTTCATTTGGGTGTTAAGCTTACTTCCTGGCCTGTTTCATCCGATCATTCGCACATGGGCTATGAAGCAGCAGCCAGCAGCAGTGACGTATATGTACATGGACTGGCGAGGTTTGACCCCGCGGCTAACTGCGGATCGTTTGGGCCAAGCGTGGGCATGGATCAGGTTGGACACGTGACCCTCCTTTGCAACTGACGGGGCGGGGAGTCAAGATTACGTGCGCTCCGCTCCGCCCTGTTTGAAACCCTAGTTTAACCAAGCTGCACAGTCAACAGGATGGTTGGGTGTAGGGGAAAGTAAGACTTTGGTGCTTTCGTGGTGAGTTGCTGACATCATTTACATAGTCCTACAGTCTTGCCGAAATGGCATAGCGATGAGTTATTAGGAAATGGGGTTATAGAATATAAGCTTGCTGGGGGTACTTGGTGGCATTGTATTGATTGGCTATTTTATTTTTTTACCACTCCTTGTCTTTGATGAGGTTACCACTAACACCCTTCCCTAGACCCCGCACAGAGCGGGAGCTCTCTGCACTGGGTACGCCCTTGTCTTTGATGAGGTTGACTGCTGTACATGCAGATGACTAGGTGGGATGAAATTTTGACTCTTCCAGTTCAGAACCCACCATCGTCGGAGTTCTCTGCAGCAGATATCTCGTGGTCAATGGTGGAGGGCTGGAAGGATTCTATGGATAGGCTTGCGCTGATTCCATATTCTAGGGTGAATGACTTTGTCAGAGGAGAGTCGAACAACAAAGATTGCCCAACAAGATTTCACGTTGAAGCACGGAGAAGGCGTCCTCCGACAATGAACTGCAAGCCGAAAGTTGATGGGATACTTGAGTATATTCTGTAAGTAATATGAAGCATTACTTATGTTTTCCATCAGACATGACCCTAGGGGTTGTTTAGTTGTCTCACCTCTTAAAATGAATATATTAATGCAGTTCCTTGTTCCAGATGTTAAAATTCGGAGTATAATTTTGACTTGATTGGACCATTCCGTGCAGGTATTGGTGTTCTTTTGGTCCAGATGATTATAGGAAGGGTGGTAATGTACGGCCTAGCAGGCCCATCTCAGAAAAGAGAAAAACACCTGCTGGCCGCCCTAATACAAAGAGGGGTTGTGTGTGCCATTTTATTGTGAAGCGCTTGATTGTTGAACCATCTGTGGCTCTTGTGATATATAACCATAATAAACATGTAGATAAGAAAGGCATGCCATGCCATGGTTCTATGGACAAGATGGCTGTAGGGACAAAGGCAATGTTTGCACCATACATATCTGATGAGTTGCGTCTTCAAGTTATGTCTTTGCTCTATGTTGGTATTCCAGTGGAGACCATAATGCAGAGGCATACTGAAATGGTTGAAAAGCAAGGAGGTCCATCAAATAGAGATGATCTTCTTACTCATAGATATGTTAGGAGACTGGAAAGGAAAATACGTCGTTCTGTTTATGAGCTTGATGATGATGACGCTATTAGTATTGACTTATGGGTTGAAAATAACCAGGATTACGTGTTCTTCTATGAAGATTTTTCAGATACAGACACCTTTGTCTTGGGCATCCAGACAGATTGGCAGCTACAGCAAATGATTCAGTTTGGCAGCCATAGTTTAATGGCTTCTGATTCAAAGTTTGGAACAAACAAGCTAAAGGTTTGTCAATGGCTCTTTTGTTAATATTTGTTCCAATAGTAGTTTAAAATTTACTCATTTCATTGTAGCATTCCCATTCACCATTTTGCAGTATCCTGTACACAGCATCCTTGTTTTTGATCAGCACAAAAATGCAATTCCTGTTGCGTGGATTATAACCCCCAATTTTACACATGGTGAAATATATAAATGGATAGGCGCTCTTTATGATCGAGCTCATACAAAAGATCCTACTTGGCAATTGGGTGGCTTTATTATTGATGATCCCTTGGCAGACGTTCGCACAATAAGGTAGTCAATAGTCTTTTTAACTTCATTTTACTCTTTCCTGGGGCTGCATTGCCTGACCATATAACATGTTGAACAGGGAAGTCTTCCATTGCCCTGTGCTGATTAGTTTATGGCGTATCCGGCATGCTTGGCATAAAAATTTGGTTAACAAATGTTCAGACATTGAGAAGCGTTCAGCGATGGCCAAACGTCTTGGAGATGCAATATCTAGTATATGCAGAGGAAATGGTGATGTTGAATTATTCGAAGGTTTTCTGCAAGATTTTGTTGATTGTGCTGGGTTTCTAGATTACTTCGAAGCTAGATGGCTTCCAAGACTTGGTCAGTTCATGTACCTTTCCTGTATCATATTTTGCTTTTCTATCTCTGGATTTTACTGTACTTGCCAATGGTTTTTAGTTATACCTTTTCTTAAGAAGTAAGGTGTTGAAGTTATTTGGTGAGGTTTCTTGATTGCTGTCAGATCCTCTACTGCTGACTGTTAAATATTTGCTGTCAGATCCTCTACTGCTGACTGTTAAATATTTTCCAGGGGCATGGATTACTGTCTTAAAGGCCACCTCATTGGCTACTGCACAGGTAGCTTCAGCAGTAGAGAGTTACCATCACCTGCTAAAACTTCGGCTGCTAAATGAGGCAGATAAAAGCGTCTATTGGCGTGCTGATTGGTTGGTTCATAAGCTGGGTTCAAAGGTCCATTCTTACTACTGGCTGGATGAATTCTCAGGAAAGAACAGCTTTTCACGTTACTGGAGGAGTGAATGGAGCAGTGGCCCAAACCCATGGTGCCAGGGAATGCAGATTCCAGATTCTGATGTTGTCATTGAAGGCAATTATGCCAGTGTGGTCAGCCAGAAGAATAAGGAGAAATCCCATGTCGTACTGAATCCAGGTTCTGAGTTTGCGTTGTGCGATTGTAGCTGGTCAAGGAAGGGGAACATTTGCAAACATGTAGTAAAGTCAGCAAAGGTCTGCCGTGACAGGGGATTGGCACTGCCATCGTTGGCCATGTTCCACTATTACCAGGCATTGGCAAATCTTGCTCGTTGTCCACCCAGTGATACTTTGATTAGTGACCATGCAATGGCTGTGGCAGTTTCTGTTAAAACACAGTTAGATGCAGTGTTATGCGCTGTTAATGGAAGTTCTTCAATTAGTCCAGCTTTCCAGGATCCACAATCAACGAGTAAGCCAAGAGAATCTGAAACTGAGGAAGCCAACTCTGAGAATGGTGTGTGTGCAAGTCAATCCCAGCCTGGTGCTGGTGATGATGAGGATCAGGACATTCCAACTGGCAAGAAAAGAAAGTCAGGTAATGCTTCTGGCGACAATGATGATGTTTCCATATATCAGGACAGCCTGGCTCGCAAGAAACACAAGTCAGGAGAAGCTTCCGGTGACAATGAAGAGGCCTCCACAGAAGAGGACAGTCGGGCTCGTGAAAGTAGGAAGACAGGAGAAATTTCTGCTAACGATGAAGAGGTTTCCATAGGTCAGGATAGTAGAGATCGTGAGAAAAGAAAGTCAGGAGAACCTTCTGGCAATGAAGGAACTTCAGCAACACAAGCCACACAACCTTCTGAGACTGAAACCAGCCAAGCAACCAATGGACTGCCTGTTTCTTCAGAAGCTTAGATTAGCTGAAGGGGCAACTGGGACATGACTTTTCATGAGTGTTAGGTTAGGTCCCCCTCCCTCCCCTCTTCTGAATGCACCTAGAACGCCTTGAGGGGCTTGTAAATTTCGAGCTACTGAACATATGGATTAGATTGGATGATTCAATTGTTGAATTAACTAGCAACTCAGCTTTAAAAAGTGTGGAAGGAAGCATAATCAATTTATCCTTATGAATAAGGAGATCGTGTAAATTATGCAGGACAACAATGACAAGTTCCAGTCTAACTGTCGTCCAACAACAATGACAAGTTCCAGTTTAACTGTCTGGCACAATGTTGAAAACCTAATGACCTCATGAATTTTTTGTAGATGAAGCAATATCATATCATATGGTACCTACCAAATTAGGGTCTCGTACATATGGATTGTTGTGAATTTAAGTGTAGCCAAACACGCCATATAACAGATAATTCATGACTTTGTGGTGCGCTCTATGTAATTTCGCTCGATAGATGTGGTACAACTGTTACATGAATCGATTTTCAGTCAACAACTGCGGTAGGTTGCAGCTCAGTTTCTTTTTCAGTGATTTCAAGACCTGTGCAGGAGAAAATCAAGGGAAACAAACCTAATATAATTGTCTGCTGCAATCACACTGTAACATCGCGGTCTGCCTACCCCAAACCCAGTCCACAAATCATGATCACGGTCCTAGGGAACAGAACTCGATAAGAATAAGATCATCCACAGCCAACCTGAGTCATGAATAACCACAGCAAGATCGCACATGTTGATAGTTGCTAACTTGCTGCGGCAACAGCCCTGCAAGGTTTCTTAAACTAGCTTCATTTTCATGCTATATTATGGAAAATGACATACGTAGTATGCTACAAACCCAACTTGAGTCCCTCAGTTGTACATACATTGTTGAAATTCTGAAACAGATCTGTTCTTTTGTGTCACTCATTCTCACATCTCATTGCTTATTTATACGCAGCCAATCTAGTACACTTTTCTGTTCTGTTTCTGGAATATAAAAACCAGCTGGAACCATCTTCTAACGAATAGTCAGGGTAAAATCTTGTTTGATTCAGAAAGAGTCCCATAACAACTCTTCAGTGCAACACAGTATCCATACAACATCCTAGACGAGTAGCCGTATAGATCCAGAATTCACGGATCATGTTCCATTTGAAGCTCTTAAACATAAGTTAACCCCAGATTACTTTGCTAAGGTTAAATTAGCAAATGCAATCACAGACTAAATAAGGCACACCAGGGAAGTAGCAATTAGTGCATGTCATGGGGAAGCTTTGTTTTATCATACTTGCATAAGATTGGGCATTGGTCACGAGCCACACTTGAACAGAGGTAAAGCAGTTGGATACCCACTAAGCTACATTCTCCTACTCAGCAAGATACGTCCCTTTAAGCTCCCCTAGCCTACTGGTACCTTGTCCCTCACTGCATTACGATATAGGTAAAACTTCATGCAAGCCTCTGGCCTAGAGAGGTCGTGTAGCTCCTTGCAAAGGTCCTCATCAACAGTGGCTGAAGGATCAAAATTTATAGTAACTGTTTTGAGCACTGGTGTCCATCCCAATAGTCGTTGCACAAATGCAAGATCATCATCTGCACCGCTCAATACACAAATATGCAACTCTTGGAGAGAATTCAAGCAGAGCTCCTCAGTTTTCCAGTCTTGCGGCTGATGACAAATACAACCTGGCGAACAAGCAGTTTGTTCCTGAGATGAGGAGCATAGACATAAGATGGGCTAACTTCTCAACAAACTTTTCAATGGCTATTGACAATACGAAAAGCATAAGAAAGCGGAAATCATTTCGATTTTACGGTCATTTAGAAAGTGGAAGTCTTAACGGCATATGGAAAATTTGCATAAGAACAGGATACATGCCATGTATAGAGAGAATTGCAGAAAACAAATTTTCCACAAAATTACACAAATATATGCCAATTGCAAATAGTGTATAATTGATGAATTTTGCTTCTTAGGGTAATCAACAGAGCCTTTAGCATGGCACCCATGAGAAGTACTATAAGCTTAAATACTAGACTCTGTAAAATATGCCATCAGTTTGAAACCTGATGCCAGTGAGCAACATCTACACTGGCAGTTGATTAGGACCCAAAGTAGAGTTGCAGCTTTCCATTGTATTTTTTGGATTAATGCACAGCTGCTAGAGTATATCCATACAATTATATCTTCTAGAATCAAACCATGAAGAAAAAAATAGAAAACTATGTCTATGTGTAGCAAACTAACTCCTGAAGTATCACCATTGATCAAGAATCACTGCACCAAATGAAATCTTCGACCACCTTACAAGCAACCAAAGTATTCGATAGTTGATAAAGTGAAGCATACCTGAATGCCTTCACTTATATGCACAAACAGCCTTCTTATACTGGTGGAAATCTTGAGGAAATGGAATACACAAGAGATAACAGCATGTCCAGATGCTACTAACTTCAGGTGTAAGTTCTCAACCGGAAGCAAGGTTAGGGCTTCCATCAAGTACTGGTAGTAAACCATCTCCTGCAAATTCGTAAATGGCCACAATAAAATTTCATATGGCAAGAAATAAAGCAACTCTCTAGAATAACTGATTTTCTCACAACGAATGACTGTTACAAAATGCAGGTAAACTACTTCAGACTTGTTTTGCTGAGTGAATGACACAGAAGATGCCTCTGGTAAAGAATCACAGCTATTACTTGATAACTGTATAGGCCCCGTTCGCTGGTCTGAACTTTGGCTGAAAAACATTGTTCCGGCTGAATTGTTGTGAGAGAAAAACACTATTCCAGCTGAAAAAACAAGCCGAACAAGCCAAACTTTAAGACAAGCGAATGGGGCCATAGTTGAATATGACCCACATAATAAACTACCATCCACGCCTGAATTCATGTCCTTGACCGAATATTACAACTATACCAGTGCATCTATGGGAACACTGATAAAAAGCGGTTGAAGTAATACAATCATTCAGGAAGGTGCCAAGGTACATTAAATTTTATATATAAAATAAAAAAAGGAGGACTAAACATGAACAACCTCAATAATCCTACATTCCTACAAATGTGAGAGTTCAGAAAAACAAATTGAGCAAGAATTTTATATAAGAAATGGGGTGAGCTTACTCTTCTCAACAACTGATCCTAGTAAAGTTTTACATTCAATGACAGTTATACAGCTTTGATTCATTTTTTCTGTTCTATAAATTAGCTAAAGAATGTGGGAGTCTTGTAGCTTCAGGCCATTTGGCTTAAGGTGGGATCCAAAAGCGCACCCCCAATTCATTTGTTTGCCTTGCCAGATCAAATAGTCGTGCATACATCTGATGCTTGCATCCATGCCCATGTATGTATGGTCAAGTGTTACAATATAGGGAGCTGTACAAGTGTACCTACAACTGAAGGTCCTTTCACCAGTCATTTTATTGACAGTCAGTTGCTTGACTAAAACATCATCTAGTAATCACTAGTACTCCAAAATAGTTTTTTGTTACAAACTTACAGTTACTTGTACTTGCAGCAATATTCAAATAAATAAAGAAATGTTTCAAATGCATTATAACAGGATGTAAACAGTATACTCACATTTGGTGATGATCGTAATGAAAAGAGCAGGGATCTTCCAAAAGCGCCGCAATAACATCACAATGCCCCAGTTGTACTGACACTCAGGCAATGCATCTGCAAAGCATAAGGTTGACAGTATCCGTAGCTGTGCCAGCTCACCAAGCTGGACCGAGCTTGGATCATATCTATCAGCCCAATCGATCGTTATGTCAACCACTGGCTGCCTCTCGAAAAAGCATTTAAAGATTCGCAGGTCTATCAACATTGGAGACACGCAGTGAGCAGCTGCAACCCTTCCACAGTATGCAAATGCAAACTTAGGAGAGAGCCTGAGCAGATAGTGAGTTTGGACACCCCTTGAATGTCGAAGAGACACAGCTATCGCAGCGAGGGGCAACAGGTCGATGAGAAGGCATCGCTAACGTCGCAACACTACAACTGATGTTCTATTAGGAAGATAAGATGTGGCATGTCCGTGGGCCGTAGTGCTTTGGTAATCGGTGGATTACCATGGCGTTTAGTTGTAATTTCGTGTAAACTCTCTTCTCCTGCTTAATGAAAACCGTGCCCGAGGCACGTTCGAGAAAAAAAGATGTGGCATGTCCATATGACAATTAATTGCACATATTAAATTTGAAACTGTGTAAGTTTCCTCGAAAAAGATTACCTCTCAAGCATAAATAAGACTTTTTGGTTCTGAACTTTTGGTGTAACCACAAGCCTTCAATTTGAAACCATTCCATACATGTAACATTAGCAAAATATGGAAGATAATTTTGATTTGACTGACATAAATAAACACACAACCAAACAAACTAAATTCACAGTAAATAATTGCTCATTAACACAGCCACGAAAAAATACATGCTAATCATAAAACTTATCACCAAAAATCAAAATTGTTCAACTTGTGCAACAACATTCATTAATATAACTAGCATCCATAAGTACACTACATAAATGTCTCAATAGGCTTGCAGTACTAATTAGATCAAAAGCATGAGAAGGCATACATCCAATGTCTCAACAGGCTTGCAGTACTAATTAAGAAGGCATACATCCAAGCACAAGCAGAACATTTCACCTGAGTCTACTAGAATTTAACCAAGCTGCTAGCTCATACTTAGAGCACACACTTTCAGTGCTTATTTGTGAGATCCGGTGATTCTAAGAAATAGGGAACGTAACGAGCAAAATCACACGGGTCTTTGTGATCTTTGAAAGTCGCAATGACAGTCACTTCCTTATGGTCCATGTCGTATGCTGTCAGCTTACAGGACTCCTGAAGAAAGAAAACCACATTACAGTCTTGATGAATGTCAACCACTTTAAACTCTGACAAGTCTCTTGTTTCTCCAAAGACATCCAAAGAGTTCAAGTCCACAGTGTTCTTCAATACCCATTCCTGTGTATCATAATCCTGAAGAACCCAGGTGGATAGTTTGTCGTTATCTTTATCAGCAGACTCTAGAGTCACGTAATGTAGGTGCCCTTGGGATTGACCTAAATACCAAACATAGGTGTGCCTGTGCCTCCCATCAGCCATACCTGGTACGGTGATCAGCCTTCTTGCCTTCCCTTGTACATCTACAACAAGTATGTGCTGTAGATCTGAGCAACTAACTATCACATGTAGGAAGCCATTAACAAAGGCCCAAAGATGGTTGTCAGTCTCAATGTCTAGTGTAAACTGATGATGCCAGCCTTTCAACTGTCCTTGCTCTTTTTGTTCATCAATTTGGTTTTGACTCCAGGTCCTAGTTTCAGATGAGTAAGCATGCAACGACACAAACTCCTCATACAGATCGCGGATCTGGAACTGGACCAAGTGAAAGTGAGAGGAGATGGCCGGAGCGAAAGCCAAATAGGTGTGGCTTACCGGTTCACCAGAACCGCAAGCGGCCACGACTGACCACTGCTTTGTGGTCAGGTTGCACACGGTATAGTAAAGGGGATCAAATGGCTCCTGACGGTGCCCGAAAAGGATAAGCCCGTTGCAGGAATCCAAGATGAAGGCCTCGATCCCAGTCATTTCCATCAGGAAGGAGAAGGAAGGGTAGATGTCCAGAGGCACGGATCTCACTGTCAGGTCGATAAAACTGATACTTGTACGGGCCAATTTAATATTGTCAACCTCAGAGACCTCGGACGTCTGGACGAACAGTCCTTGCATGGCGACTCTTGCATGGCTTGGGGTAGCTTCTTACGGAAGGGTCGGCGATGAGGTCGCGCCAGGCCTTGGAGACGCACTTGAAGCGGCAGACGGACTTGGCAGGGACGCGGGAGAGGATCTCAACCAGGGGGTCATCGGGGAGGACGGGCACCGCGCCGGCACTCGTCTTGGAGCAGCCCTCCATGCCTCCCTCCGAGAGCAATCTGTGAAAAGCGGGGACGGATCGAGATGTAGGTGTGAGGTGATGCGAGAGAAAAAAAAAAACTGCAGCAATGGGGAGGAAAAGTGGGCTGACCAGACACCAGAGATGGCCGTGGTCGACGCCGAGGCTGAAGATCGAATTCGACGTCAGCTCGGTGTCGGGATATTTAACTTTTTTTTTTCCACTCTTATGGTTGGCATGAGCTCAATTGCCAGCTTTCTACGTGGACCTAATTTTTTGTCCCCAAACTGACCAAAACTTCCGGTTTGTAGACATTTTAGCTGTGTGGCATGCCCAGTCAGCTTGCCAGCGTGGCAGGTGCACGTAAAAGACCTCGCCGCCCCTTGCCTTATCCCTTATCTGTGTGGTCTCGCTCCCCGTATCCCCATCCGCCCCCATTCTTCTTCTTCTCCCTCGCGCTGAGGAGCGGCGCGAGGAGATCCGACAGCGCGGCGCGAGGATCTGTGGCGTTCGGCAAAAGCAAGGGCGACGGTGCTCGTGGATGTAGGTGTACCTTCCTCTCCTCTCTTCCCCCTCTCGTCTCCTCTGTGGTTCCGGTTGCCACCTAGGGTTCGATGTGGTTAGGGTTTTGATTTTGTTTGCGGTCATTAAAGTTCTGCGTTACTGCGCTTCATAGGTAGTGGATTTGTTCGTCTTGTAGAATGAAGTCGTCAGATTGCCCACCTTGGTAAGTAGGATATTGTATTGATTGTATTCGCTGTGATGGCTGTGGAGTTGGATCAATTCTAATTCTAAACTGTTTTCATTATCGACATGTGCCAGGATTGATCTTGGCAATTCGTTTAGAATTGTTGTTGAATGTGCTAAGTTCACTGCCAATCTGGAGTATGGGCCACTAGAAATGAAAGATTCAAGGCATGATGTCTGGTTTGACAGTAGGTATGTGTTCAATCTAAGTAACTTTGTCGAGGAAATGGCTAGCAACATTATCTGGGGGCCTAGTCAGCAGATGATTGTGTGGGGAGTTGATATAAAAAGTGAGACTGAGTGGAAGATAACAACTGGCAAGCAGTTTGTTGAGATGGTGGGGGGGGGGGCTAGTATGGATGTTAAGCTGTTGTATCTTGCCTGTGAGGTCAGGGAAAAGGGTCAGTCAGCACCAGCTGGGCATAATGCTAGTGGTTGTGCAACATCTGGGGTTACTGCCCAATCTGTAGCACAGTCAGAAGCAGCTGATGATACAGCTATGTCTCTAGAAGCTGAAACTTTCAGTGCACCAGAACCTGCTATTGATTGGAGCACTCTAACCATAATACCCAATGATGATCAAGATGGTGAGGCTACTATGTTGGCTGATGAAGATGCAATATTTGAGGCATATGGATTCAAAGCTGTAGAAGAGAAAGCAGCAGCTGCTGCAGCTGAAGAAGTTCCTATCCTATCTATCCCACCAGAGATCCAACAAGAAATGGAGGAAACAGCTATCCCTGCTGATGACAAAGCTAGTTCAGAGCCACTTATTGACTGGGATAGGGACAATCCAGATATGGATGTTGGAGCCATTTATCCCTCAATGCCTAAGTTCATACTTGCATTTAGGTAGCATGCAATTGTTGGAGAGTTTGAGTTGCACACTGAGAAATCAGACAAGAAAAGGTTCAGGGGTTGCTGCAATGCCAGGGATGTCCTTGGAGGATTAGAGCTAAAACACAGTTTGATGGCAGTGTCAGGGTACATATTTTTTGTTTGTATCTTGTAATTTGTTACTTACACTTGAGCATCACCATCCCTTTACTAATATTGGTGGACTTATAGTCAATATGTTTACATGTGCAGGTACAGATAAATGATAGGGGTCATAATTATCCATCAATAAGCAGAGTTGAAGGTAGGATGGCATCTCAAGCATGGGTTGCAGAAAGGGCTATTCCACTCTTGAAGAGGAAACTAGGGATGGGTGCAAACGAAGTGAAATATGAGCTATAAGAGAAGTACAAAATCCAGATACCCTACCAGACTGTGTGGTATGGAAGGCAAAGAGCTTCTAACATTTTATTTGGTAAGTGGGATGATTCTTATGATTGGTTGTATAGGTTCAAAGCTGAGGTAGAGCTTAGATCCCCTGGAAGTGTTGTTGAGATAGGTACAGTGGAAGTAAATAGGCAAATTCATTTTAGCAAATTTTTCTGTACATTCAAGGCTAGCATTAATGGGTTTTTACAAGATTGTAGGCCTTACATTAGCATAGACTCCACTGCCCTCAATGGGCAGTGGAATGGGCACATGCCTGCTGCCAATGCGATTGATGGACATAACTGAATGTTCCATATAGCATTTGGTCTATTTGATGGAGAAACCAAGAAAAATTAGACATGGTTCATGAAAAAATTGAGAGATGCATTAGATCCAATGGACAAATTAGCAGTCTGTACAGATGCTTGTAAAGGATTAGAGGCTGTTGTGAAGACTGTTTTACCTCAAGCTGAACATAGGGAGTGCTTCAAGCATCTAATGGACAACATGAAGAAGAAATTTAGAGGTGCAATTTATTCTAAGTACATGTGGCCTGTTGCCAGGGCCTATCTCCCTGACAAACATGAGTATTTCATGAGCAAGGTCATCGCTGCTTCTACTACAGTGTTGCCATGGCTAAATGAGCATCACAACTTGCTGTGGGCTAGATCTAAGTTCTCACCTGACATCAAATGTGACTACATCAACAACAACTTGGCTGAATTCTAGAATTCATGGATCAAGGAGCATAAAGATCTTCCTATATATGCCTTAGCTAATGCTATTAGGGAGCAGACATTGAAGTTATTTGCAAAGTGGACTATATCTAGAGCTTTGAAGGGAACTATACTGCCTGTTGTGGTTTATCAGATGAATGCTGCATCAAAAGGATTGGAGCACTTGAAGGTCACAAAAGGGGATAGAAACCAAGCAGAGGTGTCAGTAGTGTACAAAGATGAAGTGAGAAGACATGCTGTGTACCTAGATAAGAAAATATGCACTTGCAGAGAATGGGAGGTCAGTGGGAAGCCCTGCCAGCATGCATTGGCAGTCATCACTACAGAGAGGAACCCAAACATGGAACAATACATAGACATAGCCTTCTTAGTTGAGAAATTTAAAACTGCATATGCAGGAGTAATACCAAACATCACTGACAGGAATCAGTGGCCTCAAGTGGACAAAGGTTTCAAGTTGCAGCCACTAGTTGCCAAGCCAAAAAAGAAAACTGCTGGAAGGCTGAGGAAGAAAAGGATTTTATCTTGCTTGGAGAGGACAGGAAAAGCCACAAGACAATCAAAGTGTGATGGCTATGGTGAACTTGGGCACAGAAAAGGAAGCTCCAACTGTCCCCTAATTGGCACTAAGAAAAGGTATCACTCTAACCAAATTTACATCATTGTTGTACTAACTAATTGAAAATGTAGGAAAAAGACCAAAAAGACTAAATCAATAGTGGGGAGGAAGAAGGCGAAGACTGATGCACCCAAGGAAGGTTCTTCATCCAAGCAACCTTCTCCCTCCAAGTTAGCAACAAATACTCCATGAACAAGGGCAGCAGCTGCTAGGGAAGCATCAGCCGTGGCTGCCCAGGCAGCTATGGCAGCAACAGCAGCTGCTGAAGATGAATCTCAAGCACAACCAACTCCAATTCCACCTGCTAAGAGGTATGTTTCATCTAGTTTCCATGTTTCTGGTCCATATTATAGGTTCAATTACCTAACAATACATCCCACTATCTAGGAGGTTGCCCTTAGATGAGCCTGTACCACTAGAGGCGGTTGTATGTGAAGATCACCCTGCACCTGTTAAGAAGATGACACCGAGGAAGAAGCAGTTGGATTCGAAGGTGAAGAAGCCTAGTCCAACCAAGACCTAATCTGTTTGATAAGCAAGAAGTCCAAATTTGGGCTATTTTATAATGGCTATGTAGCCTTGAAAACCTACAAACAATGGCTATGTAATCTATTTTGTGCTGCCAGTACTGGCAAAAAACATGTAATGGCTGTATGTAATCTATTTTGTGCTGCCAGTACTAGCAAAAAACATGTAATGGCTAGGGATAATGGCTCTGTTGCCCTGCTGCTCTCATTAGCAACTGCTGAACTTTGTTAGCTAGAAGACTGCAAACTTTAGTGCCTATGTTGCTGGAACATGTAATGGATGTGTTGCCTAACTCCTTTTATTGCAAAGGGTTAAGTCCAATTTACAACCTCCAACTCTCATCAAAGTCTGGATTTCAACCTCGAACTCCAAAACTGGATAACTTTGGCCCTCTAACTCTTGAAACCGTTCAGCTTTCAACCCTGGGCTATTTTCTGGGCAGTTTTGGCGTATGAACAGTAACTTTTGATATTTTCGAGAGGCACTAAAATTTTATATTATTTTTTGAGCATCTTAACGTCCTAAAATGAAAAAACTCAAAACTATAAAGTTGTAGATCTCATTGAGAGCTACAACTTTGGCATAAAAAAGTATTTTCATTTAACTTCATACAGATAATATATTAGTGCTCTAATGCGACAAGCGCTAGTAGGCGATTATTATGGTGCTAAAATTTTATATTATTTTTTCGAGCATCTTACTGTCCTCAAATGAAAAAAATTAAAACTATAAAGTTGTAGATCTCATCGAGGTCTATAATTTACATATAAAAATTATCTTCATCCGACATCATATCGAAGGGTTTTTCTATTTTTTGAAATTTGAGTCTCGTCACGCCGCAGTATTGTTTTGTGGCGTGACGAGACTCAAATTTCAAAAAATAGAAAACCCTTCAATACGATGTCGGATGAAGATAATTTTTATATGTAAATTGTAGACC